AGCCAACAAATTGGGCTAGCGCTCCGTGCGATAACCCTCCATCAAGGTGTCTGACTTGCGCGGCCTCCGGGCTGCTGACAAGAGCCCCTTGTTAGGTGGCAATCTCGCAAACACTTTCGGAATGGCCCCAACCAAATTGGCAAAAGCAATTTTGCCTGTTAAAAAAAAAAAAAAACTAGGGTATCAGCTACCAGCTCTCTCTAACCTTTATCTGGTATATTGCCCTTTGTCATCCTCCCAAAGAGCATCCTGGAAAAGCTTTCATAAAAAGCTGAATGCGGAAACTTTTGTACATTAATCACAATGACTATAATCTCAGATGAGGACACGAAGAAAGAAGGAACAGGCTCCACTCAGCTGTAGTGAATGAGCACATCCGAAGTATTGTTAGAAATCGGCAGATATTCATTTAAATGTTAATCTGATCACTCAATCAGCAGGAGCTCCACATTGGGTCTCCCGAATGAGCCCAAGCAGCGAATAAAATAAACAAGTAGAGCACAAACAATCGTGAGTGTGTTTTGTAATCTGGCCTGCAAGGCCGCAGTAGAGACTAAAACTTCCTCATCGCTGGTACAAGTTGCTGTGGTAACTCCAATCTATTTACCAAAGAGCAACATCAGCCTAGAAGCAGGCCTGTAAGAACACAGGGTGGGTGCGCACTAGAATCAGTTTCTGCAGCAGATAACGGGACACTGGGCACGGAATATTTTATCATAAACTGTTGGACAGTCACTCGAAGAGGAGGGGGGGGGGGGTGGAGACCGCGATCACAGCTTCAGCCAAGTGTCTGGTGGGAAGATCAATCACGCCTTATTTTATTCTCCACTTTCCCACACTAGCTAACGGGTTACTGTGCCAGCAGCCGCTTCTCCTACGGCCTAATCTACTCTGAGATAGACGTCATGCTTTGTGTGCGTGAAAAAAAAAAGACAGAAGGGACGACAGGGAAAGACAAAAGTGGGGAGAGACAACCCTCAAACTCGATAGCTGCAACCGCCAATAATGTTCTTTTCTAAAACACGCTGATGTGGTTACAACACTTGTGGGGGAGATCCTCTTGGCAGCAGCAACTACGGTGTCTTAGACATTGAAACATCATCTTTATGGTATCAAAGTGTCGGACTGCACAAGGCATTGGTGAAGCAACTGACATTTCCGATTTCAAAACATCACTGTTCTTGTTCTGGAATTAACAATCAAAAGCTGATGAATATAGCGGCACGTTGTCTTTGTGTCCAACGTGACAAATTCCCTGCATCCCAAAAACATTCAGTGGGGTCAAGAGGTTCCACTTTCTGCACATCTCCATACAATCCCTATTTCGACACGGACGATGACATTGACACCATGTTGAGGGGTGCAAGCGGAGAGGCGCGGTGTTCGAGAGTGCGCCGGGCGAGCAGCAGGATCGGCGCGAGGAAAGGGCAGGAACAAAGCAACGTGTTCCCATTTCAGAGCGCCATTCGGCACTTTTCCAATGGCTCTTGGGCTCAGTCTTCCATTAGTGAGGCTGCTGCGGCGAGCGTGCACACAGATGGCACGCAAATGCTGGAGGAACAGATGGCAGCGACAACTACAATCCCAACTGTCTTATACCTTGAAATGTATCATAACCTCTTAAACTTACCAAAACAACTTGGAGAATAGTGGCCCATTTCTAATCGTGCAACAGCCAGATTTCTGATTTTGGAGCCATTCTGCAGTAACACGCTAGCAAATAGCACCGATGACTATGATCGCAGCAAACTCTTGTTTTACTAAGTAAAAATAACCGACACAGCTTCACGGCACTTGTTCAACAGTCCAGGAAAAACACCGGCATATGGCATGTGTTGCAAACCATCTCGCGTGATGCTTGTCTGCCAATCAAATACACGTATTCCAATGAGCATCGCGACTCCAGAGAGGTGATAACATGCGGTAGAGACTGGACGAGAGGCCAGGCGATCAGGGAAGCCTCACATGGCTTTCCCCAAAAAGAGGAAAGTGGCCAGCAAGACCGGAGCCTTTAACCAAGAACGCACAACGACGCTTTTGTTCTATACTCCCACAACCGGTTTGGAACCAGTATGCCGTGTGTGTTCAGAGAGCAGGGTGATTATTAAAAGTGCCAATGTGAAGCTTCTCCGACAAAGCACAAATCTTTTAAGGAAATGTACCGGCTCAAATCTAGTTAATTAACAGAATAATAAATGTAAAGAACCTAATTCAATTAGAATCCTTACAAGTGAATTCATTCTCCAGCAATGAGGTCAGCAGAGAAAAATAGAGCTGAAACAAATGGTGTAGTAACCACAGAAGAACTTTTAGAGAAGAATATTTATTGTTAATGGACATGTTTCTATAATTAATCCATTTGAAATATGACTTGTTGTGATATTCCAAACTTTTCAATGAGGAATTTCTCTAACTGGACCTGATGGACTTGTATTTTAATACCCCTGGTCTACATCATTGGATTATAGTTGATGAAGCATTAATCTGTTAATCGCTTTAATGCTGCAGCCGTTAAGAACAGAGCTCATTTGCACTACTTTAAATACTAACCAATTAGGAGGTATGAGAATACATCATAGCTTCTTGGTGGCTTTTTATATTGTATTCATAATTAGAGAGAAGCCAAACTACACACAAGCATCCTGTACGACTGCGTGCATCCATCCGAGGCTCGAACAAACGTCAGGCGGCAGCAGGACTGACGCTAACCGGTCGAGCGGCAAGTGAGTGAAGTGAAAGTATATTTCCGGTGCTGCCATCCCCGAGAATCCAGCTCATTATTTGCTTGAAGGAGACTCTTCTTCTCCGCCGACTCTACCGTCGGAACAGACTCCGTTGCCTGATATAACCACGGTGTGAATAATGTGACTATTTCTGAGGGGAGCTTCCCTCCATAAGTAGGTGCCTCTAATCACACAGCTTTCCGACTTCTTCTAACATAATAAACTGAACCGAGGAAGTCAAATCACGGAGCAGAAAGCAAAAGGTTTCTCTTGTGAGGAGCACCAGTAGCGGTTCAGCAAATATGGGTATTGAAATGGTACCGTTAGGTTGAGACGTTACACTTCCACAGAACAAAGTCATGAAAACGCCCACTGACATGAGAGGAGGGCTGAATTGGGATTGGATTAAGACTGTAAAATGACTGCATAATTCAGGACACAACCTCAGAAATTAATTGTTTTCATGAATAGGAGAAAAACTAAACTTTACTTGGATGCCAACTGAAGCGCGTTTGCTAATAAAAAGAACAAATATTAGGACGCCAAAATGAGCAGGGCCACGTGACAGGGGAGTCATATCAGGGACTCGCCCACGAAATTGTGTTTGCTTAGAAGAAGCTTGACACTTCGGTGCTCGTAAATCCAATCTTCATTCTCTAAATTGCCAGTTTATTTAAAATAATGGTTAGCTGCAGATAATGTGAAGCTCTGCGCAGAGGAAAAATCAATAACCGCATCCAGACGACAGCAGCAGCAGTAATTGTGCGTGTGTGTGTCTGGGAGCGAACGCCACTTCCAATCAGCACCGTGCGCCCGCAGTTGTAAAACACACATTTTCTCACTGTCAGAAGAAAAGGACAGAAAACTTAAATACAGAATGCAACACAATCATAATAAGTTTTTTTTTTTAGAGAGAGACCCAGCACAGTATGCTTCTGAGAGTCAGCGGCAGACAGCGGAATAAATCTTTAAGTAATTTCCCATTTAGTATTCTTGGCAAAAACTGTGCTAACAGGGGTCAGGCTTGTGTGTTAATGTATACAACAACCCTTGGTTTACTTATGCCATGCACACTGAATTAATGAGTATTAACCAACGTAGGGCAATGGTTCCAACTTGCCAGCAAGCTATCATTATTACATATGAAGTAAAACGATGACCAAAGGCTTTGAACTGATCATTTGCATGCAACACTGCTTCTGATGGTAGCGAATGACCCTTCGGGGCCTTCTTCTGTGGCTGAAATCTCTGTTTGGCGTATTTCAACCATGGAACAGAATCTTCCATCCCAAAAAGTCCTGCAGATGTTTCTTTCAGTTTTAACAGTGGAGACTGGGTAACAAAGGCTGAAAAGCTCCAGATTTCATTGTGATGGGCTGCAAAAAAAAAAAAAGCAACCCCATATAGCTGATGCACCAACCGTGTGCTCCCCCGGGGCATCGATGGGATGTATGAAGGCTGCAAGAACGCAACTCCAGGAGCAGGGAGTGTGTGACACTGGGCACTTCAGGGCCGAGGTCAGTGCTTGGCGCACATTCCTCAAGTTATCAGCATTATTGAAGAGGCAAGTGTCACCCTGAACAAGACAGCAGCGGCCGCCCTTGGGAATTAATGAGCGAATGCAGTCGTCGCGGAGACGGGAAGGGAGCCCGTGTGAGCCGGTTACCGAGCGGACTAATCCCGCAATGTGCTGACAGGACTCGCCAGAACGGATCAAATCCATTTCCGGGTTGCGTGCGTTCTGCAGTTTAAAATCATTAGTTACGTGGAAGAAGAAGAAGAAGAAGCTGATTGTTCGGTTTGCATATTTACTCACTGAGCAGCCAAACCCGCCTAAAATCTACGCATGTCGTTCAGAAAGTAACTTCACCGGCTGAGGGGGGGGGTGGGGGGGGTCTTAATTCATTGTCGTGCGAGTCTTCCACACGTTTCCCCGGAGCCTGAACAAAGTTGCGGCCGCAGAAGAAGCCTCCTCGCTCTGCCGCAGAGCGGTCAGACCGGACCAGCCAGCTGCTCCGACATATTCAAAAGTGTTTTCCGGTCGTTTGAATTTAGGGACACGAAGGTTGACAAAACATGGTTATCGTCATGGCGGTGTCACTGCTGACTTTTTAGGATAAAGAATATATATTCCAGTTCAAATGGATAATAAAGCCTTTTCTGCCCCCTTTAAAAGCCCTTTGGAGTTATTTGGTCTGCTATTGATTTACTTTCACGGACAACTGCTCCCGGGAAGCAGCCTGACAGGACGGCGTTGCGCTAGCGGAGTTAGCTTACCATGGGTCAAACTCGTGGATGATGCTCTCGAACCGGATCACCGCGAAAAGTCTGGAGCTGAATCCGGCCAGGCAGGCCAGGAAGAGAATGCTAAAGGAGAGTAAAGACTGCCACCCCGCCGGTTGAGTCAGTCCACCAGACAGGCCCACTTTGCCCCCTCCGCCACCCGCCGCGCCGGGTCGGCTGTTCCCGTGCGCCGAGCCCCCGGCATTGGTGGACGCTTTGTGCTTGCCGTCGCCGGCTGCGTGGTGCTCCGCCATTTCTGCGTGCGGTGTCGGCTTGGATTTGCTAGTTCTCCCTTCCGTGTCTCCCTCCACGCCGCGCTGTCGTAAACTCCCTCGGGTTTGCTCGCGCTCTCCGTTCGGGTCTTCTGAGTGAGTAAATTCGGTATCGGGACTCCGTGAGGACGCCGTTACATCCCGAAACGCACACTCATGCGCCACATACCGAGCCCGCAGCAGCAGAGACGCTACGCGATCGAACGCCGGTGGAAAGGGGCGGAGGCGATGCAAAGGGGCGGGGCTTTGGAAAGCACTTTCGTCCTCTCAACGACCGACAGGTACGAGAGGGCGGGGATTTAGTTATGTTAGTCAATCAGAGTGCAGCGGTGACTTGATAGACAGATGAGTCACCCAATGGTGAAATATTAAATTATGGCTGCCACTGATCGAAATGAGGATTATCCCTGTTATGTATGAAGATTGACTCATTCTGTTGCCCGCTATAAATACAACCCCTAATACTCGGCTTAAAGTTGTCTTTTTAGAGTTGAATTAGTCCATTTTCATAGAGAAAAAAAGAAATGATTCACAGATAGATCTAGAAAGAAATTAGTTTCCTTACCACTAAAAGCTATGACTATAAGTGTGAAGATAAATGATCTGTGAGTGCAATATTCCTGTTGCCCTTGGATGTTCTGGACTGGGTGGTGGAGTGGTAATAAAGATTGATGTGTCTCATCATTATTATGTCCCCCAGCTAAGACAAGAGCAGAGCATTCATCATTCTCTTAAACTTAGGAGGTACTTTCACAACTTTCCCCCGAAGCCTTGAAAGCCATATATATTGGAATAAGACACCTTTTTTTGAACATCTCAAATAAATCCTCCAGTTTTTGATTGATGGTGTACATTGACGTTGTGCGCGCACTGTTTCAAAGAGACAGAGGCAGGAAGTGTTATTGATTCATCCGAGGTGTGATTCGGACCAATGGTCCAGCAGCCTACTCCTGTCTAACAACATTGGTAGAAATAACTTTGTTCTCATCAAAGTCGGAGTGGACAAAACACATACATAACAATACATTTAATCTGAGAAGCCAATTTGCTAGTATTACAACATCACACATTTGCTCAATTTTACTATATAATAATACATTAAAAAAAAATATGCCCACAAATTGGAATGACGTTGGAGGCTATCTCCTGAAGAGACCCTGAGGAGACAAGAGCCAGATGAGAAAACAGCGTTTTAGAGAAGGTAAAAGATGAAGGGTCAGTAATGAAGGAAAGTAAAGGATGCTTATGGATGTCGATGGCGGTCTTCATGTAGAGTGGTTGGAGGAGCACACGTGGATGCGCGTATTTTCCTTTTTACTTCATGAAGAGATCACATAGCCGAGTGTTGCAGCTGTCCTGCACGCTGCGTCTGAACGGCGGTGCCAAGGACAGCATTGTGCACGCCCACTCACAACGTGTACGCACAGGCAACAGAGAGTGCAAGCTCCAATGCATGCAAACACACACACACACACACGTGTAGGCTGATGAAGACATCTGCATCTTCAGTTGCGCACGCACGCACGCACGCACGCACGCACACACACACACACACACACACACACACACACACACACACACACACACACACACACACACACACACACACACACACACACACAGTTCCTCGACCATTCATCGAGGCCTGTTGCTTATGCCACGACGGGCACTCTGTCACCCGTGTAGGATGTGTAGACCCCTATACACCTGCACATTCCAAACAGGTGACCTTTGAGACCAATACAAAAAGGCAGGCTGTGAAGATTACTTCAATCGCATATTTTGTCAAAAGGCAGAGCCCATATGAAAGCCAAAATGGGTTCTGTTGCCAGGCGGGGCCGCTCGCTTTCCTCCAACTGCAGAGAAACACTTTGTCTTTCTTCTCTGTTGATATATATATATATATATCATCTTTTTTTTCTTTTTTTCTCCCCAGAACATCACAGACCCGCCAAGTTTATGCTTGGCATTCTTATGTGTCTACACTTCTTCAGTTTGCCAAAGGCCCACTGTGTGAGAAACAAAAAAAGCTTAAGATGCCTGGCATGAAACACTCTTTGCACCTCTGTCGTCTCCCTCCGCTTTGACCGCAAGCGTGAGCGAGTCAGAAGGAGCCAGTGAAAGAGAGAGGAAGGGGGGAGCGGGAGAGAGAGAGAGAGAGAGAGGGGGAGAGAATTGTTCAGGAGGATTCTGACCAGGAAGCCAGTGCATCCTGAATCAGCTCCGGTGTCATCGATGTGCAGCGTTCGCTGACTGGCTTCAGTAGTTTGTCTCAAAATGCACAAAACTCAGACTGTTATGTAAGCAGCATATGGGACAAAGCGAAGAATCCTCCCGTGATTAGCTGCCGTATATAGTCTCTGAATAACGCAGAAGGTGCACCAAGTGTGGGAAGTGTTGTGATTTGTGTTTGATGCTCAGAATGCAGCTGGTGGATGCCTGAGAAGACATCCAAGACATTCCTGACATTCTCGACCCAAACGGCACTTGGCAGCCGTGTCAGACTGAGAATGACAGATCCATGTTTTATCCGTACCAGCTTCTTCCTATTCATGGCCGTTGGTGGAAACCGCAGTAAGGCAGGAGAACACCCCATGATCGCAAATCCACTACGGGGATAACACACAGTCAAAATCCACCAGCAGGATGCTGTGCTCAAACTGCACACAGACAAATAATTAGAGATCATTGTGACGCCCTTTACTCCACATGGCATCTCCGCTCTATAATTACCCCGCTCATCCTTACAGGGGGGGAAGCCCGGTCTGTGCATTCAATGACAAAACATGGTGGGAACGGGATGTTTGCACGTTGTGAGCATATTAAAGTGAAAAGACTGAATGCGGTGTAACGGAACAATTAGCCCGGAGCCTGGGGGGAACCTTCATCCCGAAACAAGGGCACTTACACAAAAGCCCGTGGCATCCCGTCCAACCGTTGGGAACTATTTAAGAAGCTTTAACGAGCTGCCGGGCATCACAGTCAAGTAAAAAGTAAAAAGTCATTCCTTATTTCAATGTGACAACAATACAGTTTTGAGGTTTTTTTTTCATGACATAGTTTGTTTTTCTTTATTTTGATGGCAAACATTTGTTTGCCGCACAATGGAAATGTAAGTGTACGCGAGCACAGTACAACTGCATCATTCAAGTCATTGGGGATTAACAAAAGATAAGAAATCAGGAGAAATAGAATATAGCGTCCGAGACTTCTGCCCGATGACGTGGGTTCTTCCACAGCGCGCACAGGGTTGTTGCCTCTTCAGTGACACTCTGTCTCACCCTGAGAGGAAGCTAACGTGAACATGATCCACTCGGACACAGGGCAACACGCGTGGAGTGATCTTAATCTGGACATTGAAGGAAGGTGTGCTGGAAAGTGAGTCGTTTTTCATTTAGACGCTTTTATCCCAAGGGACTCACAACAAGTGCATTCTAGCAAGAGGGTACAGACCCAGAACAACAAGAATACAGAAAGTACAATCTATTCCAGAAAACATGATGGAGTTGTCAAAGGTAACAGTCAGGTCACGGGTGGGAGAGCTTTTCCCTGGAAGGAAAAGAAGGTCAGTGTTGTCAAGCTCTTCGTATGCACCATGCACAGCCGAGCTCACCTTCCTGCTTTAAAAGGAAAGAAAGTGCTCGTTATAAATCCGATCGAACGCGAAATGGTGCGAGTGAGTTCTTGTGTTTTGAAAGAGAGCACGGTGTGATCTATCATCCCGGAGATCAGAGAGCTTTTGCTCAAATTATAAGGCTGTATCTGCCTGAGGATGCTATGGCGTTCATTGCACTCATCCGTCATTTTCCAAAAGCACATCAGAGGTTAGTCCTCCCGAAGAGGCTGTGAGCTGCACAGACAAAGACATTTTTGATTAGAAATTGCTTTTCATTTTTTTTTCATTTGATTACAAAAATGCTTTCATCTCCAAGACGGGGGAGGGGGGTAGATGACGTCCATGAACCCCTTTATTATTTGACGATGTAAATAAGAAATGAACAACAACGTGTTTTGGAGGAAAAGTCAGATCCTTGCATCCGTATTTTGACCCAGAATCATGCTATCATTCTCTCGCTCACGATGCCAAACGACACGATAATTATGGGCCGATAGGATCAAGGAGAGGATCATCAGAGCACAAACCAGGAATGAAAAGGTTTGTCTATGGACCACCTGAGCACGATGCATTATAAGCATTCATTTAACTGTGACTTGGTGGCACACCCGCAGTGATGCTCGCATACATGCTGCATAAAAGGTTTGCGAGGATTCAATCGATGGATGGAGGGGGGCGGCGTGGGGGGAGCGCCTCTGCGTGATGCCTATACACCGGCCGCGCGTTGGAAATTGAAGTAAGCCTGCCAATTTCCCGGACGCCGTCAGCCTGACGGATGACCCCCCCCTCCATCCCGTTCACGCTCCCGAAGGCGCCTGGACGCAGCTCGTCTCAATTCAGAAGACAGCAGATTTATGTGATATTGCTTCTGTGACGGCCGTGAAACCTCTGTGGCAGCATCAAAAAAGACAAAGAGGAGAGCCTCCCCGCCAACATCAATCCGCCGGGGGCACAACAGCATTGCTTTTAAAGTTCAGAGGCCTGTATGTGTCTCAATAACTACGACTAAGTCTTTTTGGGGCTGAATTGCAGGTCAGCGTCTCTTTGTGCAATGTGAAGAACACATAACCGCTTGTTCAAATACACCACAATTAAGAGCAGCTCTGGTGTGTTTTCTCACCCAGGAGGACTCTGGGTAGGGGGTTCAATACCAAGTGGCCCCGGGTCAGAACTATGCATCGCTGTGCTCAGGCCCGTGTCCGATCGATTCTCCTCCTGGTCGCCCTCGACCGCTCGTCTCACTGAACACCATCACGCCTCCGAAATAGCATTCAATTTAGCAGGACTCCGGTGAATAAAGGGAAGATGGGATGAGGTGGTGGGGAGGGGGGATGCAGGATGAGACAAAGGGACACGGGGAGGGGGGCAGAGAGAGAGAGAGAGACCGCCGGCCTTCTGTAAGCCGTTTAGCGCCGGGGACGTCATTGCTAACCGTGGCTGCATCACAAGGGAAACAGAACACATCTTCAAAACAGAGTTTTTGACCTTTTCCGTCTTTCAACATGTATAATTAAGACAGGTGAAGCGTACTTTTGACTGATATTTGAAGATATATCAAGCTAGCAGTTTCCCCCTGTGTCCACGCTTCATGCTAAGTTAAAATACCATTCCAACTTTTTGAACCCAAAAGGTTCCCCTGGCATCCAACAGCTACACTACACTGCTGTAGAGCGAGGCCGCACCGTTCACCGCCTCCAGAAACAAGGCCTTTTGGGGAGTAGACTCATTTCAGTGTGCCGTGTCCATCCTGTTAAGTGCACTAGTGTGCAGGTCTGGAACTGAATCGCCGAAATGGAATGCAACCATCGGTAATGTTTTTGATGCACATTAGGAGTTATCCCACATACAGTATAACATTTGCTGGAAGAAAAAGCATTGACTTTAGTTGACCTTTCAGTAGAACCTTTCTGTAGGTTTGTTAAAAATGACCCATTGATGAGGTCCAGAGAGGTTTTAAGGACGCAGCAAAAGATGGCCGCAGATTAGCGTCGGGCTCGCTGCAGTCTCTCATGAACGTTAACTGGAACAGGACCACAGTCAGTAAATTATTCCCAAATAGAAAAATTAATACGAAACACAGCTCAAAAGGATATACTGGGCCAAATTAGTCCCAAATCATCATCACAGACTGCGTGCAACACCATGCAATGATTGATGTAGGGAATTAAGTGGAATGGCATCGCCCTTGTTGGCTCAAGTGATTAAATCATTGCTGCGTGTTGTTGGAGAGGAAATTGCAATACGACTGCCAAGCACTGGCTTTATTGAATGTAAGCAAACAACTCTCTGAATGCATCCTCCCATGACAAGCGTCAGATCCAAGTGTCACACAGCTAAGGCTCGGCCGTGGTCTCTCGTGCGTTTTGCAGGGAGCACTCAGAGTGGCTCACTGGCTGTGATAGACATGGCATCGATGTCTGAGAGGACAGCAGGAGTAATGGCTCCTCATACACCAGCAGTCTCATCACTCCGCTCCCCGGGCTGCCTGCGGCTCGTATCCTAACAGGCGCATCGCCCTCTGGATGGATGCAATCTCCACTCAAGACCACAAACTTCCAGTGGATGTGACTCTTGACACTGTTGCTGTCAATAGGAGGTGCTGCGCTCCCCAATGGGCCACTATGGAACGTGTCAAGCAAGGAAGGACAACCCCAAGGGCGATGCGAGTGTTTTTCTGTCTGTTTATGGCGTCTTCGGCTAAACCAGCAGAACACCCGGGGGCCGCCCTCGCCTCCCAGTGGAAGGGTTAATGTGGGGAAGAAACCAAATTTGACAGGTGGGTCGAGGGAGCGGGGGGAGGGGAGGAGGGGGGCTCCCTGGATCCTGCACTTCATCACCCAGTAGGCTCTGGAAGGCTCGGGTGATGAAGTGCAGCAGAGTAGAACCACTACGCCCTCTACCGGCCAAACCACAAAGTGCAGGAGTCAAGCACATCCAAGGTAATGGCAATGAAACGAGTAAGTGTGCACGATTAAAACACACACTTGGATGTACGATTTGACACATTTGTACCAAACGACTGAGGGCGTGCAGTTTAAAACCATACTGAAAACATGACAAACTCGAGGTCTGGGTGAATTCATTTGCAAGGTGCAACAATATGAACCGACACAACAGAATTAAACATAACAGGATTATTATGCTGCAGGCTTTGCGTTCAACTGCTTGACACATGTCAAAACCTGTTAATCAAACCGCACCCAGCTGCGTCGACACTTTCTAGAGGGCGCCGTCAACCCAGAGGCAAAAAAACACTTAAATGTGTTATTGAACAAATTTGTTCTTTTACTGACTCTAAAAACGTGTCAGCTTTGAGACATCTGGCCTCCTAAATATACGTCTTCTTTTAAGAACTTGACTCAGTAAAATCCTATTGGCCTCACGTTATTTGATTTGAAAATTGAGCAGAATTGTGTTTCTTTTTTATTTCTGACACCCCTCTGGTACCATTTATAATGTAAAAATGATAAATCATTCATCATCAGCATGCACATCCCCAACGGCGGTCCAATTTATTTGTAGCACAACTCACGAGCGCCCGGGGCAGAGTTTATGTAAGTACATATACATTGTGAACTACAGCAAAGGCGATGGAAATCCTCCCTGTGAGACGACAAGTCAGCCCACTGTCACTGATAAATCACTCGCCAACCGCTCCCAAGTGCGTTTGTTTTACAGAACGTGCTTTTTCAGATGCACTGCAGCCCACACAAACCCAACAACTGATTTATACAGTAGTAGTAGTAGTATATGAGCCTGTGTTGGCAAACTGTGACCAGGAGGGAGGTTTTACAAATAAAACTAGAACATGGTCTGATCGTATTTCTAATAAAACACACTGCACATTTATCACAATATTTTAAGGCTGTGTTTTGCTCTCTGGTTTCACCTCTTGGAACATTTACCAACATTTAACACTACTTCTGCTGGCTGCATCTTATTCTTAGAGTTGCATATTTACCTCTTTTGTTTTTATATTTTTACATATTGCAACATAGTATATTAAGAGGCCACCTTCGCCGTGCTCTTTGTTAGAAAATTAAAAGTATGACGTTAAAAACATTCTGCAATATCTGGGCGCATCAATGTCAAGTATTTTTTTGATGGATAATGACTTCTCTTTGACATTTGATTTGTCGACTATGCATTTATTGTCTTTTTATATACACCCCACAATCTGAAAAAGTTGGGCCACCCCTGGTTTTATCCTGCAAAAATATATATGCATGATGTAAATACTGCAGAATGATGGATAAGGGCATGCATGAGTAGTTCACAGTGATTTAAGCGTATGTGTCACTGTGAGTTAGGACGGGGAAACTTACTCTGTTCCAAGCCTGAGAGCAGCTGATGGCTGGTGGGACTTCATGTTTCATCCTGCAGGAGCAGAGTCCTCTGGGGATAAATTACATTAAATCACTCCATACTAAAAGCATTTTTTTCCAAGTGTTTAAATGCTTTTTGTCAGGTATCATATTATCAATGAATGTATCACGTTCACTATTGTCAAATAGAAATTCACACATGGGGGTAGACATTTAAAAAAAAAAAAAAAAAAAAGGAAGTGAAAAACATGTGTTTTGCCTTAGAATGTCGGGCTTCCCCTTTGGTGGATTAGTTATTTTACTTTAAACACTTCTTCCACTGCGTGACTCAGCATGAATGCTTGAATGTGCTCAGTCTGTCGGATCAGCAGGACTAGCAACATAAAGGGGCAGTCATTTGATTTTAGAAACATCAAATGACTGCCTGGAGCATTAAGTATAGCGTTGATGTAGATTAGTGTTGTGCTGTCAAAGTGGGGCTGAAGACGATATATGTTGGGCTGTAAAGCCCATCAGATTGGAGAAGGTTTACAACGTGTCCCTGCGGATCACGTTCTGACACTGAGGGGAACAAGCACCAAACGTCGTCGTGGCGCAGGGGGTAGAGCGGGTGTGCTGGGAACTGCAAGGTTGGTGGTTCGAGTCCCGGGGCTGCCCCATGTCTCAAGTCGAAGTGTCCCTAACCCCTGATTGCTCCCTGGGCAAAATGTGAAAAAAGCCATGGGTTTAAAGTGTAATGTAAGTCGCTTTGGATAAAAGCATCAGCTAAATGACCGGTAATGTAAAAAATTCAAAGCAATACAAACAGACCTGTAACACTTTTAATTATGGCTTTACAATTTAATGAATACTTTGATATAGATCAGAGGGAGCGGAATTCCCTATTGTGTGACAAAATGTCTAGTTGAGCTAACAGCGTATACAAAGGTAGTGGGCTCCAACTTTGTGTTTACAGTCCGTCCCCTTTTTTCTCGTGCAGGCACATGAATGCACATGCATGCATGCACACTCACGCATGCACACGCACGCATGCACACTCACGCATGCACACGCACGCATGCACACTCCATATGTCTCGAGATATGATATAAGCCTTCTCTGTACACCTCTGGCTTCTAAAGGTTTTCTTTCCTTTTGCTATCAAGGACTTTTCATTAATGCCACAAGAAAGAATACGAGCACTTTGAATACCGTCGCAGACATGTAACCGTGGCCGCCGCGGTAAACGTTTACACTCGCAGTCATGAGACTATAAGAGGGCTCCTCGTGTCATTACATGTCTTAATATATTACCTGGCTGCCCTTTACCTTCTTTTCTAAATAAAAGCTGTCCCTTTATTTCCTATTCCTATAATGTTGTCAGATTGAATAAAAGGCACTGAATGTGTACACACACACACACACACACACACACACACACACACACACACACTTACTTGGTGTGCATAGATGTTTATAAAGTGCAAACAGCATTTGGTTAAAAAAGCTTTGTAATATCATCTCCCTGTTTGTTTATAACTTGATCCAGTCTTTGAAGCAATGTAGAAGAAAACAAATCAGCCAGTCACTGGTTTACTTTCACGCTGGTTCTGATCTGTGTGTGGAAGTCCATCTCTCGTATCAGTTGCGTTTCATCGACGTGAGTTTCCAGTTTGCTCCTCGGTCACCCATTTGTGACAAACCCATGGCGTCTCTCCCCCTCTCTCCCCCCAGTTGCCCGACTGCGAGTCCACTGCTGCCCTGGTGGGGGCAGCGCTCCTGTTGAGCTCTACTTCTCATCCACCATCAAGATTTCCTCGGGGATCTTCTCCTCTGAGTCGGAGCGATCCGACAGCTTGTCCAGGTACTCCATGTCGCTGAAGCGCTCGGCGACACACTGGGCTGTCAGACGGGCCTCCGGGTCGTGGTCCCAGCACTCGTCTATGGAGGCGCACACCATCTGGATGCCCTGCACGGGGAGCAGTGGCCCCCACATATGAATCAGCCAATCACACAGACTGGGGGCAAACCTGACTGAGACGGACCATCGTCCCCTCAAGCAGAAAGCCCAAATGTTGACGTGTGTGTCGATCTGCGTCTGGGTACCAGCAAGCTAACTGGAGCAGCTGCTGTGCAGTAAATCCTCCCTTCATTAAGCTTTTAATGCCTATTTGCTATCACATTTGTTTAGATGGAAATAATTGGGAGACTGCTTTCCACGAGTACCAAAGGAGGCTTAAACAGTGTCCTGTGGAGTCTGCTTAAGAACACATTTAGGTGGTGTACTGATACACTTTCCCCTGTACTTATATAGTGCTTATAGAAAAAGGATACAATAATGAGGACACATTTATGAATAGTATATTTCATTTCGGGGGAAGCATGGGTGTGTGTGTGTGTGTGTGTGCGGCGCCTCTTACTGTGTGGTCGATCCAGCTGTTGGGGACCTCAGGTCTTCCTCTGTCTCGGAGGACGCTGTCCTTCATGCTCTCCACACACGGGTGCTCCCTCAGGTTCCCAAAGGGCGGCTCGTACTCTTTCACCTCTGCACACGGAAACGGATAAATGAGCGTGGACCTTATCAAACAGGTTTTATTCCAGCAGCACACCGCGAGACCGACTGCTGAGAGGCTCGTTTGCATAGGGAGAGGAGATCAGATGCTGGTGCCCCACAGCGCACAAGTAGTCAACAACAACAACAACAACAAGGAGAGGCACTCAAAGGATTCACTGTGCGCTCAACATTAAAACCGCAGGTTGCAAACTTTAAATAGCACTGAAGCAGCACAGACGGAAAGAACGCATGCGGCTGAGAGAGCAGGAAGATTTGCTGAAGAGACGCTTATTATCATCACTTTTTATTTGTTACCATCAGCTCCAGGCTCAACGCATCTCGCCAACGCGGCTCAGGCTTTTGTGTCTCCTCGCGCAGCAAAATCCAAAAGCCATTTTACCAGTTGAGTTTACTCATCGAAAGATGTCAATGCACCGGCGAGGGAAACAGCAGGTCAAGAGTTTCAAAAAAAAAAAAAGAGCAGGATTTTAATGCATCCTTTGAGTTAAACAACAAATCCAAAAACTGCTTTGAAGAGCGGAGAGTTTCATGGAATAAGCAGGAGGATTAGGGAGGCGCAGGGCTGTTGAGGTGAAGAGTGCAGGCGGATGTTCACTAATTAAAAGACGCCGGGACCTGAAGGAGCAAACTGATTACACAATCCCCACTTCTTTATTTTACGCTGCTCCAAAAGCCTTTAATCGACCGCCACGACTGTTGACAATGACTTCAGAATGGATAGCTTTCATAGTGCCCCCCCCCAACTCCTTAGAAAAACAGATATGTACTTCTAAAGTAAATCAGTTACGGTACATTGTACTTTAACTTTGAGCTTCAACCCAACCGAGTGAAACCAGCTGTGTTGTCACACACTAACCCTCACTTCTCACTTCCAGTAATCTGCCTTTTTTTGTACATAGTGTTTATTAATTTAACCATGTTGTTTTTAGCCATGTGTTTTGTCATACTGTGTCGTGTCTGTGTCACTTGTGTGCACTGTGCTTCTGCCTCTTGGCCAGGTCATCCTTGTAAATCAGAATTGGTTCTCAATGGATTTTACCTGGTTAAGTAAAAGGTCAAATAAATAAAAATAAAAAAACCTTTAATGACTCTTTTCACTCAAGAAGTTAAAGACATACACAACTAATGACTAACAACAGTAAAACAGTGAAACCTCTTAAAGCGAAGGGCTTTAGCTGTCATTTATTCACCAGGCTAGAACGTGCAGCAGAACTGCTCTCTGGCTGGTTATTCACAGGTATACGGAGTGACCTTCATTATGGCCATGTTCCATTTAGGTGGTGCTGGGATTGTCCACGCTGGAAGATTAGAAATAGAATGGACTCATAATTAATTTAATCCTTTTCATCTGTGCCTTCCCTGCTATGCCGTGTCAAAATGGCTGCTGCAACTCTGGAGCGTTCGACTTCATTTGAATTTCGCATTTACATTTAAGTAGAACGTGTATTTTTGGTTTTTCAGGGCCTGGACACGGACCTTGAAGCAGGACGGAGCTCTCACATACACACACAGCGGTCACAGTCACCGCTTGTATGCGAGCGCTGGAGTAACGAGGAAGTGAACTGGCAGTCAGATGACGCGCGCCACAACTGAATACAAGTGCTCGATACTGTTGACTCGTATGACGAACCGTCCACAAACCTTCCCCGACCGGCTCACGTCGCCGTGTCCGAACGCGTTAAAAAGAGGCTCACAGGAAGTCATGTCGCCCGCACACAGGAATCCGACGCTTCTGGGACGGAAGACGACTCTTCTCAGAGGCTGAAACGACCTTTTTGTTTCAGCTCCGGTTTGGTAACACGTAACCTAACCGTTAGTCAGAGGGAGTGTTTAACTTGTTCTCGAATGAAAATCCATTGTGGGCACATGTGTTTATGTGTTCATCCCCAAACAATGGGCCCAAAATATAAGCACCATACTACTGAGAGTTCTGCTGTGCAAACAAAAGTGTGTATTCCAGGATGGAAAAATTGGCCAATCCCGCTCGCAAATGAAAAGATGTTTATTTTTTTTTAAAGGCAGACCTTTAATTAAACTCTGAACAAGCAGAAACGATTGAAAACACAACACAGGGCGAACCAGGAGCGCTGTGATTTGCAAAAGTGACACAGTGCAAATCGACAAGACTTCGATAACAATGAGCCACTTGCACTGCGTCTCCCGCGACAGCGGACGTGGTGTGATGAGAGTTTTGCAAAGCAAACACATGAACCACCCTAAATGTCTGACTTCCATGCTAATCGTCGGCCAGGCCTGTTGAAAATGTCTGGGCATCTGCGGCCCAAATAAATTCTGTCCAATTTAACGGCAGACCGGGGACACCCACAGCGGTACGGCTTTTTTTTTTTTTTTACATCTTTAAGCAAATGGACACTGCGGCTTTGATTTATAGGTTTGGATATCAATGGTCAGCAAGCCAAAAGTAAAGAAACACACAAAACAGCAAGATAAATCAGGATAGATCTGTTCTGCTCCCCTTCCGACAATGTCTTTTCGTCAATTAAGCTCAACAAAAAAGAAAAAGAAACAATAATCCTGTCCCCTAGACACATCAATAATGCAGAAAAAAAGATTGGAACAGTTTGCCAGTAAATAAATTTGTAACGTGATCACAATGACATTGCGTGTCTGTGTGCAACAGCAGCCTGACTAATCTAACTCCCAGCAGCCTCTGCTGCTTCCCATTAGGCTGCGGTGGCTGGGACACTTGTTTTGTGCAACTTGCACGTTGTTAAAGTCCTTTAGTACAGATGTCTGTGCATTAAACGTTAGCGGAGCTCACTTCAGTACACATGGCACCGAATTACCCCGGAGGCCTAACCAGCCATCAACAGTAGCCGATACGTGATCTCACCTTCACATAAACCCTTTAAAACACATTTCGCCCTCAATTCATCCACAATGAAGTGGTTTGAAAGCCTGGAATTTCTCCTCAAATGATTTGACAGAGACAGAAACACACACAGGACCATCAGGCCCTCCGGTCCTGGAGGAGTTGGTGTTCTGACATCTGGAGAGCAGCTGCCCTGACCCCTCCTCTTCCTCCTCCTCCTCCTCCTCCTCCTCTCCCCTCTCGGGACTGAAGGCATTTCTCCGTCTGCAGCTCCACATTCAACACCGCTACACTACTATTCCCCCAACGTGGCTCCACCCGTCCGAGGAACATAGTCTTCCCAAGCCCTAAATCTGGCCCTGCTAAATTACATAGCAGAGACATTTCGGGGAACAGAGGCAGAGAAAAGAAAAGGGGCCGGGCCTTGAATCACAGCGACTGGCGCTGGTGTTCTCCTCCCCTGGCAGACCTCAGATCAGACCACGGCCCCCGGGAGCCGCGGCAGAGTGGCTACGTGGCCGCAGGGCGCTGCTCAGACGTCCGTCTTTTACAGATGCACACGGGGCAGGTGGAGGGGGCAGGTGGAGGGGGGCAGAGGAAGCCAGGGCTTCACCACAGCCGTTATTATGACGCCCTGCGATGCGTCACCCTGAATCCCTGCGTGCGCCCCGCTGTTCATCACTTTGGCCCAAAATGAGGCGAGTCCTCAGGGTGTCATTAGTGACTCAGGCAACTTCAGGAAAAACATGAAGCTCACAGCAGCTTCCCCCCTGGTGGCGCTCTGATGCCAGAATCAATACCAGCACGCCGTCCACCAGGAGACGGTTTTTAGCTGACAGTGGAGAAAAAAAAAATTGCAGCTCCTTCTTTCCAGCTTCCTCTATCAAGAGGTTAACCCTAACCCTAACCCTTTTAAAACGTAACCTGATACAATTACTTATTACATTTTTTTAATGCATATATTCAGGTGAATAGATGTACCAAATGTATAAAATAGGATTATGTGTTTTGTGTTCATACCAAATGTAATTTAGGGCGCTGCATGATTGACGGCCCCGTTCACACCGGTGCATCTTCCGTTAATCCGGCATTCCCCAAGCCTGGTTTTAGCACTACTGAAGTCCAGATTTCACCCGCCTGCCTGTCTCTGAGTGGGCGGATGGCGGATGGAGACATACCGGGAAACACATAAGCTATTCAGCTGCTTCTATCCATCTGCCACTATGCTGGTACGGTTCCCCTCCCTCCAGTAAATCTACGCTGGCTCGTCCTCAGTCTGTCTTTGCTGTCTGCAGAGTTTCGGTGCAGTGGGAGGGTGATTAACGGCTGCCTCAGCTGCCCGGGGGGGGGGGGGGGGGGGGGTAAGGACAGAAAGAGACAGAAAAACCTGAGCTTAAGTCTTGAGGGCTTGAGGACAAGAACGCTTAAACTGGATCTAAAATAAGTGCAACAGAGTTTCTGTTCTTTTTAGACGTAAAGTTACGGGAATGAATGTCGAATCTGTTGAGTCCATCTCTACCACCACGTATCCTGTCTGGTCCGCTCTCAAGAGACACCAGCAAGACATCCTCACATGAAGGAGACATCCATACTCACAACTGCAGTGTCGCAGTGCGCCGCGGGGGGGCTGCGCTCTCTGCAAAACAGGAAACGGGCTATTTTCCTTTCAAAAAGGTGCACAGGGCGCACGCACACACACACACACACACACACACAAAGCAGAGCAGAAGAGGGACTGTGTTTTTTCTCCCAGAGCTCTCGGGCAGCGTAACTTCTGGGACGCTTTTTACATTACATTACAGGTCATTTAGCAGACGCTTTTATCCAAAGCGACTTACATTACACTTTAAACCCATGGCTTTTTTCACATTTTGCCCGGGGAGCAATTAGGGGTTAGGTGTCTTGCTCAGGGACACTTCGATTTGAGACATGGGGCAGCCCGGGACTCGAACCACCAACCTTGCGGTTCTGCGCCACGACGACCCGCTTTAAGGAGGGCCGTGGCGAGAGTGGTCGCGGGGGCGAGACAGGAAAACACCAAAGTAGAAGCGCTCAGAGCGCGGCTTTCAGTCAGCGCTCTGACACAATGGGGGGAGACCGGGGGGGCGACACAGAAACAAACTGGACCACAGAGACACCGAGGGGAAGTGAAAACAAACGACTCGAGTGTCGACGTGAAATACGGCCGCGCGTTTTGCCTCCAGATAATCGCCCGTTTCTATTATTTGCACATATCCTGGCCTTGTTTTTGCCACAGAATGACAAACACAAGTAACGGTCCATTAGCAAAGTGAAGGCTGATGCCGGAGACCTCTTCGAGGTGGAGTGTGTGTTTGACACTTTGAGATTTTGTTCCCACAGTGACAAATGGGTCGCGGAAACACACACGCGCACAGAAGTCATTTGTCTTTTGGTATTTCTGAAGATATTTACAGGCCTCATGGGGGATTTCATCAATCAGTGCTTCTATGGATTTCCTTTAAACTCAGCAGCCTGAGATACTTTTTTTTTTAAGCTTGGTTATATCTATTATTAACTAAGGGTCATGGGGCGCGTGTCATCATGTGATACTGTGGAAGCGCACCAGACGATCACGTTTAATCATGTAGAAGTCCACAAAACACAACTGATCATGTTTTGAACATGCAAAGTGGAGTAAAATATTCAGCAGTGCCTCGTCGTACAGACGTGTGTGTCTGGTCACATCTTACCTCCTATTGCGCTGCACCTGGAGATGATCTCCCACAGCACAAGAGCCATGGAGTAAACGTCGGCCTGTTTGAAAGACTCAATGTTTTCCAGGTTGATTCTGGACTCCAAGACCTCCGGGGCCATGTACCTGGCAGTGCCCACCTGAGAACAGACAGGGTAAAGAAAGACTCGCCGTTAGAACCCAGGACGCCACGGGGGGGATGTTCAGCTGGGAGTGCGTCGTGCGCCATTGTCCCCACATCATATTCTGTATGCCTGAATCAAAACACGCTGGATGTAGAAAATAATTGGAAAAAGAAAAAGGCAACGCGGCCCAGAGCTCAACAACACGTTTCTTGTCTGCACAGTAATTACCATATTGGAAATTATGTTCACCGGTGCTTCCCACCAATGCGTTACGGGCTTTTCAATGCATTAGGTGTGTAGCCCAGCAAAGGGTGAGGCCCCTTTTTATAATGAGTCATTTTAATAACAGAGTCCTATATGAATCTGGCCTATTACATCAGCATAATGAGGCCATCAAGAATCAATCATGCCGGTCTCTCTTGTGACTATTACAGAACGGCCACCTCAGAACACTCGCTCGACCAGAGAAGGGCGCCAAATATTACAACAGGAGAGGAATTATTCACTACTTAAACCAAATGGACCTCATTCCTTCCGGGGCCTTACCTGCCCACTGTTGGCCAGCTCGTCCACAGACAGAGCGTTGTCCAGGCGCAGGGCGAGGCCGAAGTCACACAGGCAGCAGGTCAGGTCGCCTTTCACCAGGATGTTGGAGCTCTTAATGTCCCTGTGCGCGATGGGCACCTTGTAGCGGCCGCAGGGGCTGAGGTCGCTGTGGAGGTGCGCCACGCCGCGCGCCAGCGACCCCCCCAGCAGCCACAGGTCGTGCCAGCTGACGATGTGGTGGATCAAGAACTCCTGCAGGTTCCCTCGGGGCTGGTAGGCCGTGATCAGCCAGCACTGCCTCTGCGCCTTCCGGTCCTCCGCCGTCAGGAAGTGAAGCACGTTCTCGTGCCGCAGGTCGGCGTCGGAGAAAATCTCCTTCTCGTTCTTCCAGGAGGCGTACTCCTCGTACTGGAAGATCTTCACGGCCACCGTCTCGAAACCCTGCTCCTCGCGGACGGAGGAGCTCCGCTTCAGCTTGGCTTTGTAAACCTCGGCGAAGCGGCCCTTCCCGACCTGGACCTCCAGCTCGATGGGCAGCAGCTCCGTGTTGTGGTTGAGGTTGTTGGCGTGCGTGGAGCTGCTGTCGGAGCCCTCGTCGTCGATCATGATGGCGCGGGCGTCGCTGAAGTCCAGGCAGCCCCTCTTGCGCCCGGAGCTGGCCCGCCGCTGGTGGTAGACGCGATAGCAGTAGAAGGAAGTGATGACGACCACGGCCATCACCAGCAGAGGCACCAGGCTCACTAAGATGACCGCCACCACCTGGGAATCCATGTCTGGGGGATTGAGAGGATGAGGAGAATGTGTAAACACGTGTGATACGCCAAGGATGATCCAAAAACAAGTGGAAACAGAGACGTTTACAAAATAATATCAAATAATCGGAATATGTGATCTATCTTCATTAAAAAGAGGACGACACGTGCGGATCAGGATCCTGCAATGCGACCAAAAGCTCCTGAACAAAGTTATTCTGCTCCGCCACACAAAGGTGTGAGATTTTATTATTCCCTCTTCTTTTTTTCCCTGAATAGAATGAGCGTTACCAATAAACATTATTACATTACATTACAATACAGGTCATTTAGCAGACGCTTTTATCCAAAGCGACTTACATTACACTTTCTAACCCCTGCGCCACGACGACCTCTTAAAAAAACACAAAAGCTGTCCGTCTGCTTCACGAAGGAGTAAACTCGTATTGCCAGAGCAGCGGAGGAACCCGAGCCGTCCCAGTGGAACGTCTAAAAGCACCACGCAGCTAAAGTTAGAGTCCGGGCCGCAGATGCAAAGTGCTCCAAACCCTGAGCCGGTACACCGCACATTGTGTCTCTTTATAGTCTACTTATAATTTGTGTGTCTGGGAGCAGCTATGGCTTTTGGCAAACAGTGAAAGTTTATGCTCCAGTTTTTTCTAAAGCTACAGCCATAAACAGACGTATAAAACACACATCACCAGACACAATGCACCAAATAAGAAAACCCCAATTCGTCCACAGTTGGATGAGTTCTATATTTAAATCATTTATATGGTCTAGTGGCAAAACCTCCTGCCACACAACTGGTAAATATTTAAACAAGTAAGAACTACTGCAGGCCTTTACCGTATTTTGCGCACGAAAAGACGCACCGCATCAAAAGGCGCACCTTCAATAAATGACGTATTTTAATTATTTTTACATATATAAGGCGCATCGCATCATAAGGCGCACCTTTAATAAAACGCTTCGCATAAGGCGCTAAAGTAGAGGCTGGAGTTACGGTGCGTTATGCATCCATTAGATGCATAACGCATCCATTAGATCAGGGGTCGGGGACTTATGGCTCGCGAGTCACATGTGGCTCTTTTGACGACTGCATCTGGCTCTCAGATAAATCTTAACTTATATTCCTTAACACGATATGTAAGAAATAATTCCGCTGGAAATCACAGTGTTAAAATAACGATCACACTGTAACTTAGAGCTTTAGCTGCTTGGGCTGTTTCCGCAGAGATTTTGACTCTTACAAAGATCATCGCTGTATGAAACGATGCCACACTCTGTGATATTTCCTGACAATAGAACGCTAGTCACGCACAGAGAGAGAGAGAGTGTGTGACATCCTCACTGCAGAAAGGATCTGTGTTCACACAGACACAACAGCGCTGAACCAAACAGGTGACAGCGTCTTAGCAGAAGTGGAGCGCATTTCACTTTTCCTGCGTTTTACTCGTTTTTAATTAATTAAGTGCAAATAAATCTTGTGCTTATCAACGATTAGCGCCAATTTGTGATTTCAATAAATATACTTAAAATATTTTGGTCCTGTGGTGTGCCTCGTGTGTGCCTGACTGATGGATGCGTTATGCATCTAATGATTAGCAGTCAGATAGGTCAGTCAAACTTTATTAACAAGAAAACAAAACAACAAAGCAACAAGCAACAAGAACAATAATAACTCTGTAAACGTAAAGCTCACTTTCTCAGTTCCTTATCTAAAATCCCTCGAAAACTTCTTCTTCCGTGTCCGAATTGAACAGCTGGGCTATTGCGGCATCCAAAACGCCTGGCTCCGTCTTATCAAAGTCATCATTAACCGAGTCAGTGTCGCTGCTGTTGTCTGGCAGTTCGGTGACAATTCCTGCCTTCCTAAAAGCTCGGACCACAGTTGTGACTGATATACCAGCCCAGGCATTTACTATCCACTTGCAGATATTAGCATATGTCGTCCGGCGCTGTCTCCCCGTCTTGGTGAACGTGTGTTCGCCTTCGGTCATCCACTGCTCCCACGCAGTTCGCAGTCGAGCTTTGAATGCTCTGTTGACGCCAACATCGAGCGGCTGGAGTTCTTTTGTTAATCCACCCGGAATGACGGCGAGCACTGAATTAGTGTGCTTCACTTGTTTTTTGACATGCTCGGTGATATGTGCGCGCATGGAGTCATAGATCAATAGGGACGGAGCTGTGTGAAAAAAACCACCCGGTCTCTTCACATAAATTTCTCTCAACCACTCACTCATCTTTTCTTCATCCATCCATCCCTTCGAGTTAGCTTTTATGACAATGCCAGCTGGAAAGTTTTCTTTCGGCAAGGTCTTCCTCTTGAAAATAACCATGGGTGGAAGTTTGTGGCCATTAGCCTGGCAGGCGAGAACTACAGTGAAGGACGTTTTCTCATTCCCTGTGGTGCGAATATTCACCGTACGTGCTCCTGTTTTATCCACAGTGCGGTTTACAGGGATATCGAAGGTGAGTGGAACCTCGTCCATATTGATGATATGCTCTGGCTGGATCTTTTTTTCAGTTATCTTGTTTCTGCAGTATGTGCGGAAAGTGGCCAACTTTTCCTGATAATCAGCTGGTAGTTGTTGTGACACAGTAGTGCGCGTACGGATGGAGAGATGACGTCGTTTCATAAAACGGAAGCACCAAGAAGGACCGCCTCTGAATTCACTGATGTTATGTTCGCGAGCTAGCGCTATTGCCTTCATACGAATTGTGACTGTACTAACACTTCTGCTTGCTGCTCTTTGTTCAGCAACCCACTGTTCAACTTTGTCCTCTAACTGTGGCCATCTCGCTTTGTTCCCGCGGAAACTCTGTGTTGTCTTCTTTACTTGGCGGAGCTCATCCTCATACTTCCTCCACTTCCTCACCATTGATTCATTGATATTAAATTCTCTCGCTGCTGCTCTATTGCCGTGTTCTTGTGCGTGGCTTATCGCCTTGAGTTTAAACTCAGCGTTGTACGCGTGTCTTTTGGTAGGAGCCATTTCAGGGTATTTACAAAAATATTAAAATGGAAATGAAACGCCAGTTTCCCGGTATCCCAGCATGCACTGCGCACTATTACGGGAGAAAATCGAGTCGCGGCTGCTTACCGTAACTGAGACCTGTATGCGTTTTAATACTGGGCCATATACAAGGCGCATTGTATTATTAGGCGCATGATCAGCTTTTGAAACGATTGAAGGCGTTTAGGTGCGCCTAATCGTGCGGAAAATACGGTACTTGTTTTAATCTAGTTGAAGACTTTGGTGTCAAAATGTGTGACAGCAACAGCTTCATAGCAAACATATGCTCATTCTGCTCAAGAGCTGTAATTGTAGAAGCGAGTACGAGTTGGGCTGAGGTAAGGGAGGAGGACGAATGTGGAAGGCATCTAGCGGACGGCCCAGTCAATCCCTCTGCTTCTCTTTTTCTAAACAGGAAACCACATGTCTGAAATCCTCAACATGGCCCCCGCCAGCAGTTTGTTTTTATTTTCGCAGAGCGAGAAACTATTTCTCACAACAAACCTGTCACTGTGCTGCACCAACTCTCTCAGCTCTGGCCTTAAGGAATGCTTCAGCCCCCGAATGACCATTTCAACATTATTAATTATTCAATACGGGAAAAGACCCTGACAAACGTTGTTGTGTGCCTCCGCTGTGAATGAAGAATCACAAACTGGATAAGAAAAGTTTTTTGTTATCCAGTTACTTGATTGAAGTGTTTTACAAACTGAAAACTATATCAAAACGGCGGTTTACATTAGTCATTTCTTCAAAATGTAGGGATGACGTGGGCTGTGTAATTGATTTCCAGGCAATTAGTTGAGCACAAAGGTAACAAAATCTTCCCAAAGAATAAAGCACACCAACTTCAGACTCCAGTTACACTTGTTTGTTTTTTGAAATGATGTAACTGTAGATGAACCGGCGGATGGATTTTAGTTTAGATTTTAAACTATTTCACAATCTCGATACTTTCGAGCTTACCACAACCCAAGCTCCAACTTTCCTGTCATTTCTCCTTTCGCTTTCTTCTCGCCATTTCAAACTATTGTCATAAATGTAGTTTTGGTTTTGTATAGAAACACAAACAAAACTTGAGCCCACATTTCAGTAGCTGGTGTGCGACGAGGGTTCCCCTTTACCGGGGCGGAGGATATGGATTTCAACTGGTATGCGACAAACAACTTAGTCCTTCCCGAAACTTAAGTAATGGCATTCCTAAATGAATCCCTCAGTTATGGGAAAAGAGCAAGGGGGGGGGCTTAGTCTGAAAAGTGTTTTGAACATTGGGAGACGGGTCCCCAGAGGAGGAAGAGGCACGTTCATCCTGACTCACTGGCAGTGTTCCGGTTGCGTTTTTTAGCCGGAGCTCCTTTCGTACTCCACCGTCTCCTGTTAGTCGCAGACAGTGCACAGACTTTCTCCATGGAGGGGGGGGATGTATTTCCATTGCGTGGTCCGCACTAGGCAGATGCTTTCAATTTGGCTCCGCGTGCAGAGCCAGGCCTCAGAAGTGCTCCTCCGTGTTATTATTGCCTGGATGCTGTAGTCAAAATACATCCGATTCCTGGGCCAAGTTTGGAATTAGAGTCTACGAGATAATGTCTCCCAAACCTGCTTGTGATCATGTATCTGCAGACCACTGCAGCGCACACGTGTTTGCATTCACGCATGACTCCTTACATGACAAGCTGAAACTGCCATTAGAACATTAAGCCCTCCGGGACCATGACGTCACCATGTTACACAGTGCAGATGTAAGACCCCACCAGTTACATTCTTACACACATAGAAGAGTGTTACTGGACTGCTGCTTCGCTGTTGTACAATCGAAATGGACCAATGAGGAACCTACGTAACTCTGTCGCAGTTGAGGGAAATGTACACAACCGAGTGTTAGATAAGAAAAGCGGTGCGACTCTCATGTCTGTCTGTTCAATGGAAGGCCAGCCAGCAGCTATTTGGCTTAGCTAATCTAGCCCCACCTTCTCAGTCTTTATGCTAATTTGCTGTGGCTCCATGCATAATGTATTAACGTATTAAATTATTTTAAGGGAGTTCATTGCCTATGCATTTCATGAAACGCAAGAGAATCCGGAGCTTCTACCAACCGTAGACTGAAAAATGCACAACAACAAAAAACATCTTCTAATGTCACTCGAATATACGGCCCGAAGGAGAGGGGAGGGGGGGGCTAAATAAGACGGCTGCTGAAATGGAGCGTTTTAGACGCACAGTAATCACAGCTATTTTCTTTGTACGTCAACAGCGTGAAAACACATTCTAGTAAAAACCCAGAATACAAGTATGAACCTGAAAATGAGCATGGAACAGCTGGTTTGATGTGGTATTCATGCGTTCACTATACAGTAGCTCTCACCAGATCGCAATTATCTTAAGGGTCAAATAAAATAAAAAAAACCTCAGAACCTCAAGAGTGGTTACAAATCAAAGGATTAGTGAACAAACGTAATTGTGTCTTAAACTCACAGGAGTTGAAGAAGACGTGCTCGTTGCACTCGTCCTCAGAGCAGGAGCAGATAAAGAACTGGGAGCCCATGCCCTTCCTCTCCTTCATCTCACACTTGCTGTTGTTGTAATCCTCCAGGGCCAGGCCGTGCAGCTTGTGGAATCGGTTGTGGCAGACTGTGTCGATGGTGAAATTGTCGCCCTCCTTCCTCCTGGCAAAGAGAAAAAGCACACAGGAAATACTGCCATTTACTGGACTGTACTCAATGCCTCGGACGCGAAGCCCCCTTTTCAGATATCTGTGTTACCGTGAAACAACAACCGGTGCACAGTTTTTGTAAATGCATACAGCGATAAAGTGGGCGCTGTAAATGGGATGTTTGTCTCCTGCAGCGGTCCAGTCTCAGCAGTATGTAAATCAGGGCAAAGCAGAGGTCACAATCGCGAACAGCGAGACTCTTGAAATACCAAACAGGAAACAAGGAAAACCCTGATCATGCACAAATATAAACATGTAAATGTTCCCCGCTGGGCGGCGTTGGCTGAGAAGAACACGTTAAAAAGGAATGCTGCTGCTCGTGTGCCGTTAAGCTTTCTGCTGACTTCAGCTCACCGAATGCTCGGCAATATAATGAGGAGCAGCGGCGCGGCTTCCAGCTTCTACACGCCGCGGACTCCTGCTGCTTCCCGCGTTTGGAGTCAGATTAGCTGCTGAATGATGGATGTTCAGGCGCTCGTGTGATTCAGCAGACGGACTCCACCAAAAGTGCTCAAAAGGAAAAAACGTAGTGACGTGTAGTGAAGCCTAGTTTATGCTTCTGCGTTTTCAGAGCGACGCAAACGCGAGACCCCCTTGCGTGTCCCTTGCGTGTCCCTTGCGTGTCCCCTGCGTGCGCCATTATCAAAACGAAGATTTTTTACGAGAGAATGAATCAGATTGAAGAGCTTTTGTCGGAAGAAATGCGTAAATATGAGCGCTTCTACAAGCCGTCATTGGCGGACTATGAGGACGCGCGGACGGCTTCCCGATTCGTGGAGGGAGATCTCCACAAACGCCGGTTTGCCGGTCGAGAGGTGCACAAAGTAGTGGAGGAAAATACGGGACAAATGTGTCCGCGAGGAAAAGCAGCAGTGGCGATGCACGGGGCAATAAAGTCTATGATAAATAAGTAAACGTGACTCTCTAGGTCGTATTCGACAAAACACGTTACTCCACCTGTTGTTCTGGAGGTGAATCGCTCTGCAGCACACGCAAGACTTTTAGAAGCATGAATTGAAACGAGTGCGTCGACACGACGGTGCGTAAAGACGCAGACGCATGCGGCAGCCTTAAGACATGTAGGAGCTCCTGGGAGGAAATGAGCAAGGACGGTACGATTATCAAAAGAGCATCCACTGCGCCCTCGTTTCCTCACGCCTTTGTTTGTGACCCGAGAGGTGGATCATGTTAGATGCTCTTTTCACTTTGACTACATCCTGGCTTTCATTCTCAGGGAAAAGTGAGTTTAGATGAGGCGCCACTTACCAGGTACTGACACACACGTCCTCGTCGTTGGGGCAAATGGCCGTGATTTCACACTCGACCTTGCAGCTCCCTTTGCCCGTGCAGCTGGTGGGACGCACATCACAGAACTTGCACAGCATTTTGGGCTTAAGAATACTGGCTTCTGTGGAAAATAAAAAGACGAAAAAAAAGTTACGGTTTACTAGGCGGCATACGACATAAAAAATGTAAAACCCAGACATGCAAAAAGGTCTCATGATCGTCTAAACATGAGGATAGCATGAAGAAGTTCAAATCTAATTAAAGGGTGGGAGTCTTTTGAAGTGTTCACATAAGTAGATGCAGATAAACCAAACCACTGGAAAATCCACACTATCATTCATTTGGGGGCTACAATTTTTTTCTCCTGTGAAGTTGGAAACAATAAGCGGCGCGGTGGCCTCCGCCTCCTCTGGACTTGTTCGGACTCGACGCAGCCAGCAGGCAGACCCGTATCAGAGAGACGGGCTGGATGGTGTGATGACTGCCTGTGGGTTTGACAAGCATCTGAGGAGACAACCGGCAGACAGGCAAGAACAACAAACAAAAGGAAACAAGGAGGCATCTCCTCGCTGGGGAGTCTCTAATTTGTCGAGCCGACCGGACGGCGCCCCCGTCTACACAGGTGTTGGCCTGCGTTTGCATTTAATAATAAAAATGAGTCAGCGTACTGAGAGAAGGAGCAGGTGAAGAATACCTCCCGCCTTCCTCTTAGGAGAAGGGGTCCTAACCGCCGCTGGATCCCGGGGCTTTAAGTTTAAAGGGAGGACATTCCCAGGATCAATGTAACGTTAACAGGAAAAAAAAAAAAGGTGTCACACGGAGAGTTTTGTGGGGAGTTTCACACAATGCGAAATCAAGTTGGGCCACACGCTGAAAGTGAAATCGAAATAAAGTGAACTTGCAAAAGGCAAGAGGAAAACAAGAGACAAGAAGCATGTAACTGTGGTGAAACCACACCGCCACACGCCAACAGCACGCCGACACCTGGAGCCCCGGCCTCAGAGGGCGCAGCATGCGAACCGACCGGCGAGTTAACCTCCACCGCCCGCAGCTGAAAGACCCCCCCTCCCTCCCTCCTCCTCCCCAGGAAGAAGCACTGCAAACAAACGTGTGCGGTGCCAGTCGTGTAAAAGACGGCCCCTGACGGGAAGTCGAGCGAAGTGAACACAACTTGAGAAGTTTCCGGCTGGGACGGGGAAGCGAAAGGAGACCTGTGGACGGGAGACAGTGACGACGTCTGTCTGGTGTCCAGCCTGAGTGCTGGTGAAGGTGGTTGAGCCGAAGTAATTATATCATTAGAGTAACTCCTGTGAAGGAGCATGTCATTTATACCCCCGGGGAGGAGGTGGGGGGGGGCAATGGAGGGGATGCTTGTTAGTAATTGTCACCCAGGGCTCCATATAATTGTAGAGGAGGAGGAGGAGGAGGAGAGGGGAGAGGGGGGAGAGGAGCAGCCAAAGCCACTTGGTGCCGCTGGGACTGAGACAGATGAGGGCAAAGAGATGGAGGATAATTCATGGGGGGGGAAGAGCAACACAACAGGTGACATGTTGAAACAGTGTCGCGCTGCGGTGCAGAACAGAAATGTAACTTTTTAACGAGCAGCTCGTGTCGGTGAGAGAAGACAAGAACCACGCAGAACCGGTGAATAAATAAAGCAGCTCGAGGCTCGATGACCTGCGCGCTTTGGTTTCTGTTTTTACTCAAATGAAGTGAGTCTTTTGTACAGCAAAGTGTACCCGAGGGCCGCGGCGTGAAGAAGAAGAAAAAGCACAAATGCGTAAAGCACCGCGAGACTCAAAGAGCGCGGCCGAGCAGCAACTTGTGCCCGTGAAAGTGTTCCACTCACCGGCCTCCTCCAGCGCGCCGCCGCCGAACAGCGCCGCCGCGCAGCACAGCGCGCAAAACCCAAGTAGCTCCATTTTTGGTTTCTCCTCTGAAACTCCGCTCTCTTTCTCGCGAGTTAACCCGAAGCCCCTGACGGCGGGTGACTGCGCGCACTCTGCCCGCTCCGCCTGTTGCTTCACTGCGTCCACATCCACCCGCCCCTGAAAAAAACACCGCCTTCACGGCTGAGGAGAAGCGGCGGGGTAAACACAGCGGGCAGGACTTGCCCTGCGTGACTCACGCACTGTGCGCACTTTCATGAAGCAGGAAATCTTCCGAGGGGGTTGGACAGTTTGGCCCTTTTTTTTTTTTTTTTCTTCCTTCTTTTTCTTCTTCAGCTTCTCAGTGGTGATGTGGTGAACTTCTCGTGTGACTCACGCAGCGTGGAACTATGCGTTTGAGGGGCTGAGACTTGAAACGACATGCTCGGAAATAGCTCCAGCAGAAGCCTCACCTTTGGGCAAACACTGTACACATCTCATTTAGGGGGCGGTTGGGTTCTGCTCACACACACACACACGCACACACACACACACACACACACACACACACACACACACACACACACACACACACACACACACACACACACACAGTACGGTGTCCATTCCAGGTCATAGGTGTCTTTGCACCCTGTCTGAAGAGGCTCACAGTAACATCACAGATGACTTGAGTCTCTCCGCGTTGGCTTTTTGTTGAGGACACAGAGGTTAAGTCCACTCTTAACACCGATGAATTACCCGACTATTGCCGGGGCTTTGCCGACATGTGTTTTTGCTCTGCGTACTCGAGCCCTGATGTCGGGTCTTTAGTCGTGACCCCCGTGACCCCAGAACATGTAACTCTCCACGCAGTACGCCCTCCTCCTTCCACCTCCGGTTATCAGCCTGACGTGGCTTAAAAAGACGCTGCAGAACCCGAGACTCGTAACGCGTTGTCTCAAGAATACAAGTGATCTGGTGAAAGTACGTTTCAAACAGGAACCGACGATAGCTAATTCTGCATACTTAACAATAATTACGGCCGCGCGGCAGGCTGCCGCTGGGCGCTGCAAGACGGGGTCCAAGCCACGAGGTGGAGACCCGACAGCGCCGTGAGCTCGAGCGGGCCCGTTCCCCCACTGACCTCGGCACACGTGGGCCTCCCAGAGGGGCCACGGCATCCTGCTCACTGACCACAACACCCAAACAAACGCCCTTACAAACGTCACTGCATCTGCTTCGGTTCAACAGGAAACGAAGCAGCACCGCCGCGCGCCCACGCGTGTTTAAACACGACCCTTTTTCAAGCGTTACTCCGTGTGCCTCTTTCACTACTTTTATTTTTTACCCCCGCGCACGAGTTTCTCAGTGTTCCTTTGCCTTTGTACAGTTTCCCTCCCTCGCCCCCCCCCCTGCTCCTCCGCCCCAACCGCACAAACGCAGATAAACAAGCGGCAGGCAAACATCCTGAATGGTATTATGCTCAGTAGCAGGTGCTCGGCGTTCTTGTAAACTGCTCGCGTTGTGAGTTGGAAGGTAAACAGAGCGACCCGATGACAAATCTCAGGCCGCATGCCTCCAGATAACAGCGGGGGGGCAAACAAGCCGCCGCGTGCAGCACATCACAACGTGGCCGTCAAGTCTCTCTTCACCATTTCTCTGCATCGTGGCGGGAAGAAACGCAGTGACAGGACTGCAGTGTGTATATGCATGTTGAGTATTGTGTGCTTATTTTTCTTTGTGTGCCAACTTGAGGCGTGCCACAATAAATAAAAATCACTGAACCAGAGCCGAGCCGAGGGAAGTGATTTTAGTGAATTTATTATTTCATGTCTGACATGGGTTTAAAGAGTGTTCCTTTATGTTTTATGATGAGATGTTCTGTTTAGAAAGAACACGATTTGTTTTAGTCTGAGGCCGCATGGCGCTGCACATGGCGATTTATGCATCGCACACCCTGTTGTTAGAGCCTAAAATTATACGGTAGCACATTACACAAGGGATGCTCGCCTTTTCTCTTTTTTTACAGTTCACTGTAGGATGAATGTACTGAGTTTTAGATTACACATGAGACATGCAAAAAAACGTCAAAAGGAGCAAGGGAATCAAACACAAAAACAACACAAAATAAAAGCTTTACCTATTCTTTCACAGTGAAATAGGAGTTTAACAGGTCAGCGTGTCTCCACATTATGTTTGTTATCAGCTTTTAAGCAGGTGAAATATTATCTATATCTATATATAGATCTCTTGCTCTCGCTCTCTCTCTCTCTCTCTCTCATATATATATATATATATATATATATATATATATATATATATATATATATATAAACAAATAATAATCTAATGTCCGCCCACTGGCATTGGACTTTCTAACACACTCATCAACAGAAGGAGTCATCAAGTGACCTTGAAGGCAATGGATATATAAAATGTACCTGGTGCACTTTTAGTGCAGCAGTTATTTGAGCAGAATCCCCGATTCGCTGCTGATTGTTTCCCTGGTTGTAAAAAGCCAGCAAGCTGCTGAAACACTGCGCCCTCCACCGTCTATGTAAACCACTTTCAATCAGGACTATTACAGGATGAAACGCACAAATACAGCTTGCTCCAAAGGACAGGCGTCGTTAAACACTGCTCTCTCTCCCTCAAACGTGGGCTTGTGTATCTGCACAGCAAAGAAAAATGTTATACAACTTGCAAATTGTTTGTGAGAAGAGAACTCAGGTCAAATCATTAAATCTTCAGTTACAGTGCACACGACTAAGGGACCTGCCTGCAACCGGAATACCAATGTTTTTTTGTTGTTATCCCAGATGGTGTTGCCGTTTCCCCCTCACTTAGTGCTTCTTTTAAAACGACAATGCGACAGGTGAATGTTCCTCGGGATGCGCCACGTCAATCATACAGGTACCACTTTGCCCCTGAAGAGATCACACAGTGTGTCAATAGTGCAGCTTTCTGCTGAGGATTTAAGGCGAATGCACATCCATCACAAATGTATGTGGCAGAGTTTTAGGGGGAAAAAGGGACGATTACCAACAACACCACCTGGGAATAAAACCCCAGAAAAAACAACCTTAATGAAATACTCAAGGCACATAGATAAGTCACTGTGAATGAGACATAGTAGTAATTTACAAAAGGTATTATTAAAGAACTGGATGTCATTAAGTTAGAAGGCAAAAAATCACTAAAACAGGTTTAAGATATGAAACAAACCCAGTTTGTTCAATACTGTAATTTAACCATAAAACACAACCAGGTAAACAGAACCGAGCCAACATCAGTGAATGTTCACATTTCCATCCATCTATCATGTCTGTATTTAGACAACAAGCAGGCTTTGCAATGCAAACTAAGCTGCTGTCGGTCAGCATGCCAACATCAAGCAATTATCACTAAAAACTAAGTAGCCGCTGATGCTGACGGGGGATGTCTTTGGTATTGCAGGCGTTTGGTTAAAAGGGTGGTAGGAAATACAAATCAAAAGTCTGGGGAGCACCAAAGTCGACGGGATTCATCCTCTGCACCATGAATGTCAACGTGAATCTCACTTCATTGATCAGGCTGGTTATTGATACACGTCAGCGTGCAGCAAAGTGGTGGGCCAACAGCCGCCCTGACCCTGGAGCGATACCGCCGACCGGTGTAGCAAGTAAATCATCACCAGCATTCATCTCACAACTGCTGCTCACACGGGGACTGTGAGTAACACCATAGCATGCGTGCAAAGACAGTTTTGCTGGAACTGTGGGGGAAAGATAGTCGTAGTCAACACCACCTCCGGCTTGTATGTTAAACGCACGCACTTTGCCTCTAAATTCAGTCAAAGGGCAAAGAACTGCGGAAATCTGCCTCGACGCGGCTCGCAAGTGGCATTGTGTGCACACTCATACCGACTCAGAGGCTGTAACACACACACACACACACACACACACACACACACACACGTGCATACTCCCACACAATGAGTTGGCAGAGTTTGCTCTGTGCAATTGGTAAACATAAGGAAGTCTCAATAGTCCATTTGGACAACAACAGCCTGTCTCTTTCTTCTCCCACCGCCGTGAACTTACTTTGTCTCCCGGCATTAGTCAGACGCTGTGAAGGAAGGGAAAGTTTATCTTGAACACTGCTAAGGCCACAACCTTTGGTACCACAACTTGTTTAGGGCCATTGTTTTCTGGCAGACCGTCGATAGGTGTCTCAAACTGGGCCAAAGCCGGTCTGATACGAAGACATTGGAGAGGAGGGAAGGGGGCAAACATGTGTGCAAACACCGGCTGACAGCGTGTGACTCCGTCTCTGTGTGACAGGCAGCATCCTGTTTCTTGGTGTGGCTCGTGTGGGGAAATGAAGTCTCACGGGGGTGCTCTTAACTTTACACATGCTCGCACTGTAGCAGCCATAGATGTGAGCCGTCGTCGATGGGACATAAAGGTCACTCTCACCAAACCCAAACCCGAAAGCAGCCCTCTGAGCCCAAAGCCACACGTCCACCTTATCAGAGGCCTCACAGATCTCCAAAGTGTCTTTGCAGTGGAGCCCGAAGCCCATAGCCTGTCATCCCTGCCTCGGCCTGTGACCACTTCTGTGGCGGGAGCAGAGAGAAGATGATGGTGATGCCAATCAGCAAACCTTGATTACAGGGAAGGGACCATTTCAGCACAGAGGGGGAAGATTTAGTTGCTCTGTCCCAGATTAAATGGTCAACATGAAGTCCCTTAATGTGGCTGGAGATGCAGTTACACACGCAAACAGAACCAAAGTGAGTCTGCTGCTGTGCCGCGTATCAAGAGATGGACATGCACACTAAGCAGGAAAAGCATTAATGAAAACCATGTGATGAATAATGCTGTATGTGTCGTATCACTGCGCGTTGACACTGTCACACACGACAAGTGGTGGACAATAACTACATAGAAGAACTAAGTATATAACTACAGTGTTTCAGTACAGTCTTTACTTATATATAGGGTATATTATGTTTTGGATTATGAAGCTTTCCAGTGATTTTCCTTCATGTATTCAGACCCAAACCTCCACATTTTGTTCAATGTAGCTATGTTAGCAAATAAAATAAAAATTCACTAGCCCTTCTCAAGCGTTTTCCCAGATGTCAGTACACAGTACTCATATATCCTAATAGTCAGTATATTACACACGGTGAAGAGAAGCAGACAGGATTACCGACACTGGTCGGCCCTGGTTAGCTCGGTGCTGCGAGGTAACGCAGAACTGAAGTTGTTATTTTGCTCTCACAAGTCTCCGTTATATCTATCAAAAGACTTAAGTATATACGAACACGTGGAAGTACCAGAAATGATCTTAGTTCCTTCTGAACCATTTGAACAACACTTAGATGCTTCT